GTGCCCGGCCCTAACTCATCATTTTGTCATTTAATTTTTCTGCTGCTTCTCTACCCCACTTCTTTTTCCCCAGTCCTCTTTCTGCCTGCTTTGGCCTTTCCTTGTGTCTCCCACTCCTTGTCGGCCTCACTCATTGTCCCAGACTCTCCTCTGAGGCATGTGGCTGTACTTTCGTTGCTTTTTTCTATTGTCTCACCCCTATTTCATTCCAAGAGTTCCTTATCAGAGTCCTCAATGTCATGATTATAAAGGCTTAGAGAGAAACTCTTGCCCCTGCCGCTCAGCATCCCACTGGGATCAAGTAACCGAGAGAGGTTGTGAACCTGTGCTCCTTGTATGGCTTTAAAAGCAGCACTGAGGGTGGCCAGCTCATGTGGGCTTGATTTTATGGATCTGTCTGAAGACAGAGGGATGGATGATACGATTGCAGGAGGGCCCTGCCAGATCGAGGAACCTGGGAGCCTCATCTCAATCATCATCAATTTAGATTTATTGGACACCTCCTGGGTGCTTGGAGTTGTACTAAATGATTTCATCCTTCAAGCCTTGAAATCTAGTTACTGCCTTTTTAGCACTGTTTAAAATATTGTAATATTGGGCTGAGTTTTTACAAGCCTTTTTTATTCTTTCTGTTATTATTTACTACAAACTATGTTTTAAAAAACTGAAATTGAGGATTTAGTAATGGTATTGGGATTGTCCTTAATGTCTTTAAACATCGTGTAGATTTTTAAGATCCTATAGATTTCTACTGCATATGCATTCCTCTCCAGCTAATGTGAGATCTGAGGGCATTCTGAAAAGTGGGAAAGATAATATTTATAGGGAGATGTCTTATGGACACTGGAGCTGGGCTGGGTGGGGTTGTGGGGAATATCTTGGGAGAGGCTTAGGAAAGGAAGGGACAGGGTTGGAAAGAGAAAGGAGATGGGGAGCACATGCACGAGCATTTGGAAATCATTTATTTAGTTGACAGATGCTTACTGAGTGCCTACTCGGTGCGGGTCATTTTCAAGACACTGAAGAAATCACAGTGAATGAAAAATATTCAAACTACTTACCTTCATGAAGCTATAGTCTAATAGGAAGAGAGAGCCAGTAAAATAAATGAATAAAATTGGTGGCATGGACCAAAGTAACAAATAAATCAGAGAAAGGAGATAGCGGGTGTTAGAGGGTTTAAATTTTAAAAGGATGCTGGGGGAAGGTGTCATTGACAAAGACCTGAAGGAGGTAGGGAATAAGCTAATGAAAAGATCTAGGTGAAAAGTAGTGTATTCCAGACAGAAAGAGGAATCATGGGCTGAGTGCAGTACAGAGGACAGAAGCTGGGAAACCAGTTAGAAGATGACAGTGAACCAGGTCAGAGATAACTGTGACATGGACTAGTTGGAAGCAGGAGATGGGGAGAAAGGATTGGGCTCTGGGTGTATTTTAAAGGCAGCAGCACTAGCAGGGCTTGCAGGTGGACTGGATGTGGGTTGCGTGAGTTGTGAGAGAAAGGAGTGAAAGATGGCATCGAGGTTAGGCTTGAACACATGGAGGATGCAGTTGCTCCTCCGTGAGATGAGACGTGGGAATGATCCGGAGTTCAGTTTGGGGCATGTTAAGTTTAAGTTCTGTGGAAGTAGAAAATAGTGAGGGAAGAGCCCTTAATAAAATGAAGGTGGAAATCAACGGTGTGAATCTTAGAGAAAACAACATGGATTTGGGCTAGGGACAAGACAGGGGAGAAAGAACAGGCTGATGGGAGATATTATGAGTGAATTAACTACAGACAGGATACAATACTTATCCAGATGGGACTTGATGCTGGGTGCCAGTGAAGCCTGGGCAAGCTAGTAAAGAAGAACAAAAGCCACTGGCTAGTGACAAGCAACATACAGGAGTAGCATGGGAAGACACGGTGAGCCCAAACTGGGGCATGTCGCATGGGCTTTGAGAATGTTAGAAGAAACAAGAAGCACTCCAGGAAGAAAAGAAGAGGGATGAAAACACCCTGAGATAGGAAGTTGATTGGGATGTAGATGGGTGATGTAGGAAAAGGTTGAGAATTTTGGCCACTAAGGAAAATGTCAGTTGGGCACAACAGCTCACACCTGTAATCCTAGCACTTTAGGAGGCCAAGGCCGGAGGATTGCTTGAGCCCGTAAGTTGAAGACCAGCCTGGGCAACACAGTGAGATCCTGTCTCTACAAAAAAATTAACAAAATTAACCAGGCATGGTGGTGTGTCCCAGGTACTTGGGAGGCTGAGGCTGGAGGATCACTTGAGCCTGTGAGGTCAAGGCTGCAGTGGGCCAAGATTGTACACCGTACTCCAGCCTTGCTGACAGAGTAAGAGTCTGTCTCAAAAGAAAGGAAGAAGATAGAAAAAGAAAATGTCAGTGTGGCTCTTGAGGAAAAAGACCAGGTGTAGACTACAGCGAGGGGGAAGGGACCATGGCACGGGGTGGGGGGGGGTGCACTGAAGGAGAACACCAGGAAGCTCTGACTGCCAGGAGATGTTCTATCTGTGAACAACACACACCCTTTCTCTAATAAAGCATTTCCCTGTGCCCTGAATTTAGTTTACTTGGAGTTGTATTCTCAACCTCTGAGTGCGCTTATCTTAGGCATATCTGATATGTGGCTGGTACCAAGAGATGCGTTCCTACATATAGGTTTGCAGGCCTCTTGCCTTTGGACAGGGAACACTTCTGGAAAGGAGCTGACTATTCAGCTTACAGATTTTCCATTTCCTCTTGTTCTCTTGCCTATTGGTTAATTGTCTTTGACTTCTTTCACTGCTTTTTGGTCCTTTGGGCAGAAAATGGAGTTTGTGAAACTCATTGAAAACGTGTAATGCTTTATTTGCAGTTCTGATAGAAACACCATTGGATACAAAGATTAAAACCAATGGTTAAGTTGAGAATTGTGTGGATTAAAATGTTTATATGCTTGTGATTACAAATAATCAGTATTTTGCTGAATCGAAATTTCTTTTTCACCCTTTCCTTCTCTTCGTTTATCCTGTTGGATTTTTCCCTCTTCCTCCTCTTTCTCCCATATTCCTTCCAGTCCTCCCAGCTGACATCAAGCTTAGGGGCCTCAGGATTCTGAACTTGAGCAGAAGACAGCTATTTGTGCTGGTTAGGCATCCTTGGCTGGAAGAAAGGGAAAGATGGGAAAGAGACTGTGTCATTTTAAGGTCAAGGGTAAGGATTGAAAGGGAATCAGGAGGCCTAAGTAACTGGGAGAAAAAATCTGGCCACACTCAAGGTGCTGCATGGCTGGGGGCCATGGAAATGAGGTTTGGGGACTGTAGGGAAGAGGGAGAGGAGGAGACAGAACAGAGGCCACAAGACGGCTCTCATTAGCTGGGCCAGATAGGAGACTCTTAGGAGAGGAGCAAAGGCTGAGCCCTCATCTCCCCATCTGTCCTGCCAAGGTCAGTTCTCCTGCATTGCTTCACTCCTCCCCACAGTGCCTCCAGAAGGATCCCAAGCCGGGTCCCATACTGCTTCATTCTGGGACCTGAAGCTGTGAAGCCTGGCTCTGGAGGGCTGGTGTATGACTGCGATGCTGGGCCTTTGGTCTCTAGGTTCTGAGAAAGCTGGGGAGGTGGTGGGTGAGAATGAGATGGGGGTGGTGGGAACGTTGAAGGGTCATTGTCCACACACTTATTGCCTCCCTTACTTTTCTGTAGTGAAATCTGTGCTGGTTAATACCTTTCTTCCCATTTCTTTGTCTTCCCTAAACCTCTTTTCCATTCCTTATCCTGGATGCACCATCCTTCTGTCTTTGCTCCCTCCCCATCTCCTGCTCTACATGGCTCTCTTTTTTCCTGCTCTTGTCTCCCAACCTCCCATTTCTGGCCATGGTTCCATGTGCCTCCTCCAAACTCTCTTTTCCTTGCCTCTCCCTCCCCATCCATTGGCTTCTCGCTCCTCACAGCAGAGGGGAAGGTGTACAGCTCAGATGAGGAGAAGCTGGAGGCACCAGCAGGAGACCCAGCAGGCAGCGAACAGGAGGAAGAGGGCTCAGGCGGTGACAGCGAGGACGACGGCTTCCTGGACAGTTCTGCAGGAGGCCCAGGGGCTCTTCTGGGACCTAAACCGAAGCTAAAGGGAAGCTTGGGGACTGGAGCTGAGGAGGGGGCACCGGTGGCAGCAGGGGTCACAGCTCCTGGGGGGAAAAGCCGACGGCGTCGCACAGCATTTACCAGTGAGCAGCTTTTGGAATTGGAGAAGGAATTTCATTGCAAGAAATACCTGAGCTTGACAGAGCGCTCCCAGATTGCACATGCCCTCAAGCTCAGTGAGGTGCAGGTCAAGATCTGGTTTCAGAATCGTCGGGCCAAGTGGAAGCGCATCAAAGCTGGCAATGTGAGCAGCCGTTCTGGGGAGCCTGTAAGAAACCCCAAGATTGTTGTGCCCATACCTGTGCATGTCAACAGGTTTGCTGTGCGGAGCCAGCACCAACAAATGGAGCAGGGGGCACGGCCCTGAATGGTGCCCAAGGACTTAGGAAGGCGAGGGGTCTGCACCTGAGCCTGTTCTGAGACTGACCAGAGGGTCTGCAGCTGTGATTCTGCCTGGAGAGGGGCTAGTTGGCAATTAACCTAGTCCTGGATGTGCTCCTCCCAGACCTGAGATGTGTGAGCACTTGGCCCTCAGCCTGTTCCAGAGACTTTCAGGACTAGGGGCTTCAGGGTTAAAGGGGCTGGGGTTCTAATTGCTGAGGAGCTATTGGGACTGAGGTGGGCTCCTGGGGAGGGGGTGGGTTCTAAGATGCCTAGGGCCTGAAGGTTCTGTGGCAAATGCCCTGGAACAGCTTCTGATGGGTGGAAGAATCAGGCAATACCTAGCCAAGTGGATCGCAGCTCCTTATTTATTTGTGTAAATGTGTATATATGGAGCTATGTGTCTCTGTCTGTCTGTCTGCACCCCTGAGAGGGATTGGGAAAGTTGTTTCCTCAATCCTCAGCCAGAGTTCGTCCGTCCTGCTGCTTTGGGATGGGCCGCATCTTGCCTCTCCTTACAAAGAAACAAAATGGAACCGTCACTGGCCTCTGTAGAAATTCTTCAGCACTCCCCCATCTACCCCGCCCTATGTAGACTACCTCTACCCTTGCGCTTTTCCACTGGGGACTGCCCACTGCTCTTGCCTCTACACCTCGTGCTCCTATCGTACTATCTCTTCTGCTTCCCCTTAAACAGGCAGGCTTCTCTAGCTCCGTTTTCTCCTCCTTGAATGAGCTGGCAGACTTTGGGAGAGATTCACTTCCTGTTGTATCATGAAGGGACATGAAGTACTTTAATTTAGCTGGGGTATGTCCAAGCCATCTAACTAGGTGGAGGTCACTAATGACTGGGGCATTCATATCACCTGTGAGCTCATGAATAAATTGTTTTGTATGCAGAAGACGTGGCAGCTTAGTCTGTCTCTGCCACCCATTGATACTCCAGATGCAAAGGCCTAGTGGGAGAGACCCACTTCCAGTTTTCTGTTCTTACGGCCCTGAGCCTGTTCATCTCTTCTTCCCATTGTACCAGTTTTGAAGCTTGGGATACCCCTACCTCTTCTGTTACAGAATAAGATCAGTTGAGGGGGGCCACTGCAAGTGGATGGGACAGGCACAAATCTGTGTGATAGACATAGCAGAGGCTTGGGGATGGAGCAGCATTTGTGGACAAAGTGAACCATCTGCAGAGCCATCTGCAGACAGAGGGGAAAGGGCACAGAAACGAGTGGAAGTGGTATTATGGGAACTGGGCTTCCTGGGAAGAAATATGACCTATATTGATTTGGGAGGGGAGCTACAGTAGAGAGCAGAGCCATTGAGAAGAAAAATAGCCTGTTGAATGAGGCAAGGAAATGAAGGTATTAACGTCAGGGAGGAGAGGGAAGTGCAGCTCAAATACCTGGCCAGCCCCCTTACCTTCCTTAGAGGGAAAGCTTCTGGCTATTCCCATAAATTCTTCTGGCTATGGAAGACTTATCAACATCTCATCACCCTGACACGTGCTGGACACTTCTTATGGAGAGACCAAGACAGCTAGCTCTCCTTGGCAGCTCATTTCTCCCAGGTGGTTTGGGCAACCAAACAAAGCAACCTGCAGCTGTGACTGGTCATTCACAATGGTACCACAGTTCTCCAGCGAGAACACACAGATCTAGGGTGGATCTTTATTTTTTGGGTAAATTTCAGCAGAGCTTGAGTTAGGCTAAAAATATGTAGTCCAGATCAGCCCCATTCCCAGCCTGGTCTAGATCAAGGCCAAGTCTCTCTGATATCTTAGACTCAGCCTTCACAGGGAACCTATGGAGTTAGATCTTTTTAGGAGATAAGCCAGGCAGAGGTTGAGGATCACAGGAGCTGCTGTCATTCTGGCAGGGCTGGAGCAGAGTTTCCGTGGCCCTGTGTGTGGCAGGCGAGGAAGCACCTGGGCAGGAAGGCCACGGTGGAGAAGCAGCTCAAACCAAGGCCCCGACCTACAGGGTTTTTCTGGCTCTACCTATGTAGCCTCCTAACCCTCCATTCAAAGCCATATTGAGCCAGCCCAAGCAGCTTGTTTTCCATAGGGAATCTAGAGGTGATTATTGCTGGTATTCCCAGGAACCCTACTCCTCCACATACCCGTGGCCTTGTCTCTATTTTGCCCTAACTACATGTAAGGCTCGTATCAGCCTTGCAAAGGGGCTGCAGGCTGAGAAAGCTTGGCTTCCTCTCTCAAGAGTGTTACTTACCTGTTTACCTGCACAGCCCACCACACCCAACATATGCTCACGGTGTTTTAGAAAGGGCCTATGTCAGGCCTGTGGGAAATTTTTTAAAAAAAGAAGACAAGGGCCACCAGCAAAGTGGGTCCAGGAATGAGGCAGCAAAACTCCTCAGAGAGTCAGGACTCTAAATTAGCAAGTTCTCATCCTTTCAGAACCAGCAGGGAGATGCGTTTCCCCCAGGTCTTCCTTCTGAAATAACTAAGGGATTCAGAGAGAAAGCAGGAGCTCTGGATTCTGCCCCCCAGCTGGGCTTGGCAAGATGGTGGGAGCCAGAGCGGCTGTTCTTGTGTCAGCCACCTACCTCCTCCCCTTTCCTCACAAGCAAAGTGCAAGCACAATTCAGTCTATGCTGTAACACAGCTGTCTGGAACGAAGCGCTCCACTTATCCTGTGGCCCCCTCAGTTTTTCTCCCAGGTACCGACTCGAGTCTCTCTCTCTCTGTGCATCCTGCTGCATGGCCATTCCCAGCCTTGTAGGAAATGGGCAATGCTTATGCCCTCTCTCTGGGTGCATTTTGGCCAGTACAGGGCATGGAAATGAGCTTACTCCATAGAATACTGATGACAAATGAAGAGAATAGCTGGAAAAGCTACCTGATGGCCAGGCATGGTGGTTCATGCCTGTATTCCCAGCACTTTGGGAGGCCAAGGCAGGTGGATCATCTGAGGTCAGGAGTTTGAGACCAGCCTGGCTAACATGGCAAAACCTCATCTCTACTAAAAATACAAAAATTAGCTATGCATGGTGGTGGGCATCTGTAATCACAGCTACTTGGGAGGCTGAGGAAGGAGAATCGCTTGAACTCAGGAGGTGGAGGCTGCAGTGAGCCACTGCACTCCAGCCTGGTGACAGGACGAGACTCTGTCTCAAAAAAAACCTGCCTGAAGGTGGGGGAGGCAGCACCCGGTAGGAAGCAAAGAGCTCTGTGTCCTTTCATCAGGGCACTGTGCTGTGCTGCTGAAAACTCAACAACGCCCTGCCAAGGGAAGGCCGAAAAAAGAAAGCAATGCACATAGGAGATTGAGGAACGACCACTTGGGACCAAGGCGAACGGAAGGAAGAAAATCTTAGAACACCGCAAACGAGAAGGGACAAGGGAGCAGAGCTGAGGGGTGCGCTACGGAGGGCAGTGATGTAAAAGGGGGAAACAAGGCCACACACACAGTCTGGTTTATTGGCTCATCATACACACACACCAAATATGTACACAAACATAAATATTCCAATGTACAAAGTTTACATGGGACTCACAGATCACCCCTTGTCTCTTTCATCCAGCACCCCCACCCTGTGCCGCCGTCCTTCCGTTTCAGGATGAAGGCATGTGAGGGGCTGGCACTAGGAGGCAGGGATCTGGAGGAGGGAGAGGTCCTGCTCCCCTCTCCTCACAGGCACCTCCGAAGGGTCCTGTCCCTTTTCAATGGCACCTCAGGGCAGAGGGCTAAATCCCTCATTCCCTCTCTGCCGCAGCTCAAATCCCCAAACTCTCCTTGGTCCCTTTGACTCTCCTCCCTCATTTCCTCTGCTTCGTCCTTTCGCATGTCCCTGCTTCTCCATTTCTGTGTCTGTCCCCACAGTGCCTGGAGAGAGAGGGGTCTTCAGGCCATGGAATCCTTCTGGCCCCTCTGCCCTCTTCCTGGGCCTTATAGGAGGCTAGGACTGCGGTGCAGCTCAGCAGAAGGGTTGGTTCCATTGGCAGGCTCTCTGTTTGGGGTAGGCGCTAAGCCACAGCCCTCCCCAGGGCAGCCATGCTGTATCAAGATGTCTGCACACTCCTGGCTGCCGGCCCGGCGAGCATAGGCCAGTGGAGTCAGGCCCCGGGCATCCCGGCTCCTCACATCTACCCCGTACTGTAGAAGAAAACACATGTCTACAGTTGGTATGACATGGGAAGAGAGAGATTGGTTGTAGGGGAGGAAAGAAGAGTGGCTTTCAAAGGACGGGGCTAAGAAGAGCAAAGTCAGGGCAGGCCTGAGGCATGTGACTCACCCAGATGAGCAGCTGCGTGAAGACAACGTTGGCCATGGCACTGGAGAGATGTAGGGCCGTCCGCCCGTCCCCGTCCCCATAGGTCTCGTTCACCTCCTCCTTGGAGCCATGTGCCAGGAGCATCACCAACAGACGCAGGTCATCTTCCACCACAGCCCGGAGCAGCTGCTGCCCCAGCGGCACGTCTGAGCTTGGTAGTGGGGCCAGGAAGAGCTTCTGCTCATACTTGGCCCGTATCCAGCGCTCCTTCTCCTCTCTGCAACCACAGGCCCATCAGGGCATGAGCCAAGGAAGGACACCAGGCAACAGGTGGGGCCAGAAAGGTGGGCAGAAAGGAAGTAACACCGGGGGGACAAGGGAGAAACAGTGAAAGTGAGAGCAGAAAGGGAGGAGAGAAGCCTTAGAAACTCCAGGCACACAGAGGGCCAGTGGGTCATGGAAAGGGGGTGGGAGAAGCTGAAAAGCAGGGAGACTAAAGGGAGGCCCCCTGGGTACAGTGGGGATGTGGGGGCTGCAAGGGCAGGAAGATTCCAGGCAGGCCCGTGTTGCAGCTTATCTGGCCGTCTGAACTCTCTTGGATTGGCAGTGCTGGAACAAAGCGGGTGGGGGCCTGCACTGGGGGGCCGTGCATTCCCCTATCTCCCACCCATTCTCCCCATCTCAGAGCTCCGGAGTGGGCACTCTGCACCACACCGTGATAGGGGCCCTGCGCATGCGCCTCCTGCTGGCCCCTGACCTGCTGATAACACTCAGCTCAGAAAGGGCCCGTTGTTGTGAGGTGCCTGAGTGACAGGCACCAGAGCAGGAGGGGCAACCCCAAGGGGCCAACTGCCAAGCAGAGCAACGGACAGTTTTAACCCTTCTAACACCATCACAACCATTCCAATCTTCCCCGTGCTTGGAGCCCCCAACTCCTGGCCAGCTCCAGAGCGCCATCCACTCACCTGCAGGCATCAGGCCCTGGCTTGGAGTAGCCATCCAGGGCCCCCTCCCAGACGCTGTTGGCGAGGGCATTGCCCATGGCAGTCATGACAGCCAGCAGCTCAGGCGGCCAGTCGTCAAGGTCAAGGGAGCGCACCCGGGACAGGTGAGCCCCCAGGTGTCGGTGGATGCCTGAGCACTCGATGCACATCAGGGCACCCAGGTTCAGGCTGGCCCAGTCTGGATCTAGGCAAGGAGAGAATGATAGAGCGACAGCAGGCAGGCCACCAGAGTGTGGGACAATTAGGAACATCTTCCCTGCCCTCCTCCCTGTTCTTTTGATGCTTGCAAAGCTTTCCCGGGCCGTCCCCAGCTCCCAGCCCCAGCAGCCTTGCACTTACTGGGGGCATCGCAGTCAATACAAAAGCTGTTGCCTCGAACAGTGCGGACAGCCTGTACAGCCAGAGCTGCGTTCTGGTTCCCCAGTCGAGTCTGTCACACAGCAGGAGAGATAAGGGGTGGTTGGTCAGTCATGAGGCTCCTTTCAGTCCCATCCCAGCCAGGTGCTCTGTGTGGGCCCAGTCACTCTGTACCCACCTTGTCCTTGGCACTGCGGCAGCCTTGCAGGCTGGCAAGGATCTGGGCCTGCACGCTCTGAACCCACAGCTCCCGCTCCTCTGCCGTTGAGGCCTCGAAGTGCCACGTCTGCCCGGTGAGGGACACCACCACAAATTCAAACGACTCTTCTGCCTCTGTGTGGGGGATGTTTATGCCATCAGGGCTCCTGGCCCGCAGGCACACCCAGGGCGTGCCATTGCCGCAGCTCCACTCACTACCCAGCTCCACTGGCACAGGTCCTCCTCCCCAGGTGCAAGGCCACATGCTCCAGGACAACTTACAAGAGGGAGGCAGAGTAAATTCATAAGATTAGCTTGAGCTCCCGATCCTCTTTCCTAACCACCTGTGGAGCTCACGTGAAAACAGATGGGGGACACAGGGTCTTGGCACCCCTAGCACTGCTGGGAATGGGTATGAAACCAGAGGGGGTGCTTCCTGGGGAAAGAAGAGCTGAGTATCTGGAGAAGGATGCGACAGGGTGCTAGGAGGCAAATGCTGGGAGAGGGTGGGGGGAGGCGGGTGTGGGCACCATCCGTACATGTCAGCTACAGCCGCCTCATTTTGCAGCTCATTAAACCCAATATTCCTGACGGCGTCAGTGTGGGGCTCCTGGGAGCAGGGCCCCTCCCCCACTACCATAGTATAGACAGGCAGGAAGGGCATGTGGATGGGGGAGAGGAGGAGAGGTTTTCTCCAGGACCTGGAGCATGTGAGCAAATAAGGGCCTGAGGGCATCTGTAGTGACAAGCACTGAAGGCTGGACTGTGACCCCAAGTAATGTGGTGAAGCTATTCCAAGCTTTGCTCCCCCAGGCCCCGGAAGACAGCCACATGAATCTCATTCCCAACGGCCACTGCCCCATGGGTGAACAATTCCTAACAAGCAGTGTGACTGTGTCCTAGGGGCTGGAAAGACAGCATAGGTACCTGTGGTAAGGCCCCAGGGTGAACCCCAGTTCTGCCAAGGCCATCCCTGCTTGTAAGTTCTTACTGCATCTCGGCCCCAGGCAGCCTCACCTCAGTGACACCGACATCCTCTGGAATTCCTACTCTGCTGGGCCCTTGCTCTCAGGGATGGTTAGCAGAACTACCTTCCCATAGAAATAGAACTGGTGCCTCCTTCCCCAGGCACCATCACTGCGCCTTACCTTGCTTTCAGTCACAGACTTTGAACTATGTGATCTCCATGATCATTTGTGGGGCTCAGTCTGCCAGACCAGAAGGGACACCCCATGCTGTAAGTACTAAGCATCACTGTGTCACAGGTTGGCTAGGTGTCTCTGCTTACCTGACCCATACCTCTAACTCTGACGATTAGAGCAGAAATGAGAAATTATGAGTCTAGAAGTTAAACTTATTTGGGAGCAAAGAAACTCCAATCACTAAGAAGAGGGAAGTTTTGAAGATACTCTGGGGAAAATCTGAGGCGCAGCAGTATAACAGAGGAAGAGAAAGGTCCTATGGAAGAAGACTTCAGGAGCTGGAATTCCTTAGCCTAAGGAAAACTAAGGAGAGACTCAGCCAATCTCAATACATGTATTAAGCACCTAGTAAGTACCCAGCACTTACTGAACTTGGGATGACACAAGAGACACAAAACGCACAGGTCCTACCCGCACATCTTAGAGGAGCTATCGCAGTAGCAGTCTGCTGTCTTTTACCTTCTTTAAGAATAAATGAAGCCCACATTTCAACAAAAAGGGTTTCAGTTAGCAGAAGAACTTTTCTAAGATACCAGGTCTGGATTACCAAAAGAAGTTGTAGAACTACTTTGATGAGCAATTACTAGAAAGTGTTTAATCCATTGAATTAAAAAAAAATAGGTGTTACTTTTAGGGTACTATCCCCAAGTCCCACTGCCCACCTCCTGTGCCCAGTTTCCCTCTGGGTCCCCCTAACCTTCAGCAGCACTGCTGGGGCCGTCTGGTCGGGGGGTCCCGGTGCTCTTTTTCCTCCGGTGCTTCTTCCGGTTGGAGTGGGGAGATGGGGGAGGCTCCAGCTTGGGGCTGGAACTGAGCACCTCAGCTGGGCCACTGGCTGGTGAGGGGAGAGTTGGAGAAGTGTGGGAAGAAGGGAGGCAGAGGAGGGGAGGGGCACAGGGCACTGGGAGGAGGAGAGGACCAGTCCTGCCAACTGTAGCTAGGCCACACTTGGGAGAGCCAGACAGACATCTCTCTCCAGGTGAGGGGTCTGCCTGGTTTTCCCAGTCCCAAAGCTCCCCAGCCTTGGAGGAGGAAAATGTGGAGAAAGAGTAGGAAACTTAGGAAGAGCAGGATGGAGGCAAAGGGAGGAAACTGCCTCTGTAGCCTGGAGGGGTGGAAGGCAGCCCAGGGAACTCATGGGGAGCTGAAGCCCCAGCAGCTCCGTACCAAATTTATCCTCAATCACACTCCCCGCTCCTCACAATTAATAGCAGAATTAGAAACAATCAGGGAGCTGCCTAATTACTGTCAATTAGAGCGCGCTAATCAAGCTCCGTCTCCCACACCCCGCCCGGCGCTCACCACTAAATGTCAAACTTCATTAGAGGCAGACACATTCCCTCCCTCCCTGCCTTCCTCCTTCCAGACTCAACAGAGGGCCCTCACGCAGGCCAGCACAGGCCACTGGACCAGTGACCCAAGGGAAGGGCCCCTGGCTCCCTTTCTGTGTTCCTAGCTCACTTCCCCCCGGGGTGCGCTGGGTGTGGATTGGGAGGTGGGTCAGTTCCCTGTGCTGGCACTGCCCAGCTCCTCTCTCAGCCCATGCTCCTGAGGCCAGGGCCACTCAGAGGCTGGGCCTTAGTGCTTCTACTGGGAGGGCTCAGGAAGGGCCTTTGGGAAGCCAATCAGAGAGAACACCCTTGGCTGGGGTGACAGTGGGGCACCCTGGGCCTTCCTGTCATTACACCGTCACTCATGACAAAGGCATGGGAAGAGCAAGGGACAGGAAAGGAGAGCTGGCCCCATGCCCTTTTGAGCCTTCAGAACTGCTGATGGGATCTGTGGTCAACGGTGAAAGAAGTAGGGTCAAAAGAAGAAAAGCAGAGAGAAAGAACGGACAAAGGGGCAAACGGAAGAGCCCTGGAAGCAAGTGGAGGCGCAGACAGGAGAGACGGTGGAGTCACCGACCCACCTAGGATGGGTGGAGGCCTCTCTGAGGGGGGCAGCACAGGTGGAAAATGACCTTTCAGGGCAATTCCACGGGGACCCCCCCCCCACCTGCTCCACAGTAGCGGGCGAGATTCCACTGCCTTCAGAACGTGGCTCACATAGCTTAGAGCGCCCAGCCTCCGACCTCCCTCCTCAGCCGCTTCCCCGTCCCCCCCCACCCTGCCGAGAGGCTGATGAGCTAACTGCACAGGGGGCTGATGGGGATTCGGGAGCCGCCACCAGCACCGCCTGGGGACGAAGGGGAGGAGGAGCTGCAGAGGGCGGGTCTCTAGTTCCGGCCCTAGGCAGGGCTGCAGGCGGGTGGGGGCTCTGGGGAAAATGGCTGCATTTGGAGGCTGAGGAAGGGACAGTGCCCCTACTCTGTTTCCAAGGCAACATCAGTACTAGCCCTGAAGCAAGGTCCCTGTGACAAGCCCTGGAGGGCCCAGCTGGGCTCCACCCCTTGGCCTGGGCACTGTCCCAGGGCAGCCTCCGAGTCCAAAAATGCTGCCCAGTTCCCCTCCTCTCTGTCACTGGGGCCCCAGAAAAGGTGGGAAGCAGCAGAGCCACCACTCACCAGGGTGCTGCACGCCTGGGGGCAGGGCAGTGGCCTCACTCCACTGGTCGGCGCTGGAAACGGAGCAGGAGCGCTGGTGCAGCCCCTCGGGGCGCGGGCCAGCCCAGGCCGAGCTGCTGAGGGGGCGCTCAGAGTGCAGGGATGCGCTGCTGGCCGAGTGGGGGGCACCTGGGGGTGGGAAGGGTCAGACTAGGAGGGGAGGCCGGATGGGGGAGGATGCTCAGAGATACTATCCTAAAAATAGGGCTGCAGGGCAGAGCCTGAGAAATTCCAGCAGGGTACTGGGTTCATCAGGTGGCAGGCCAGGCTTCTGAGAGCCAGGGGCTGCACAGGGGCCGGGTGCGCCTTAGAAAGCAGCCTGTCCCCAGACCTTCACGCCTGCCTCTCTCCAGGAGCAGAAAGGTCCACAACACTGTCCCCTCACTGTGATCCGGGAGCAGGGAGGGGTGAATGAATCAGAGAGCTCCCAACTTGCAGAGCGAGCTGGGGCAGTGCTGACACCCATCTCCGCAGTGTTCCTGGTGGGGGTCCCTCCTGGCTCGGGCCCCTGCACCCTCCATTCTAGTCCACATATGCCATTTGCTTTGCCTCAGCTTTACTGCCATATTGACGAGAAATAAGTGTATCAAATTCAAGTAATTATGTCTAATTAGTATTAGTAATTATCCTGTTGGGCTGGAGAAAATTAATCTTTCGTTTCCCATCAGGGAAGAATGGCAGAGCCAGGGGGAACCAAAGGCTCCAGAAAAGCCAAGGCTGGGGCAGGCGCCGCCAGCAGTGGAGGGAGGACAGAGCGCCGAAGAACCCTCCTACTGCACTCCCAGGCTGAGTCCCTGCGGGAGAGATTCAGGGAACAGCGTGGGGCCTCAGAGGCCTGTGACACTTAGCAGGCCTCAGTTGGAACGCTGAGAACCTAAGCTTCCTTCCCCTTCTTCAGTCCACCCAAGACTGAGACCAGAGGGACATGGCCCTTGGTGGTCTAAGAACAGGGGCCAAACCTGAGGTGCTTGAACCTTGCAGCTGAGGAGCCAGCCAGGTGCTGGAGGCCAGTAGGAAAGCAGAGAAGGGACCCAGGGCCAGCCAAAGCTGGAGGCAGATGCCCAGCCAGGAGAAAGGCAGGCGCCAGGCCTCACACCAGACCTGCAGGTGGTGGGACTGAGTAGAAGCCCTGGGTAGGAAGCAGGGTACTGCAGTGGCTAGAAGGTAAAGGAATGCCCGAACGTGCCACTCTGTGGCTGGGATGACGCCTAAAGGCAGGGAGCAAGTTTGATGTTTCTCTTGTGTTTGTCACAACACCCAAAACAGGACCAGACACACAGCGAGTGCTTAGTCACATTCATGCAGCACAGAGGCTACAGGCCAGTCTCCATCTCCAGGCCCCGAAGGAACAGGCAGATGCCACCTCCCCTCCTTTGCCCTCACAGGTCCCGCCTCAGGAAACCTTCCGGGGTGCACACTTGGTCCCTAATTTCTCAGACACCTTGCTTCTCCTCCCCCCACTGTCATTCCCTTCCAGGTTCCAAATTGTACTCCACCTCATCCCTAGCCCCATCCAAAGCCATCACAGGCCCAACTTCCACCCCAAGCCCCCCAACCCAAAACCCTGAGGGAGGGAAAGTGCTTTCCCTTTTCTTTGTTAATTCTCCCCTCATTACGCCTGCAATCCCACAATCAGTGTGCACTGTAATTGTCGAATTTGATGCTAATGATTAATGAATTAAACATGGAGCCATCAATTAGTCCTCGGAGGATAATTCTGCATAAAGCAGCGGATAATGTAATTACAGTAACAAAGATAATGAGATGTTAACATCGCCCGGTGAGCGAGAGACATGTGTGAGTGTGCATGAGGGTCGGTGTCGGTGTCGGCATGCGGCAGCGGGACGCGGGCTGGGTGAGCACCGTCCTCGAGCCCCTGCGCGTGGGCGCTGTCATTACAGGAGGAAGGGCATGGGGCTGCCTTCTCCATGCCACTGCCGCTCCCAGGTGAGGGATGCCAGGGACAGATACGGGACAGGACAATGTCTTCTCATTTCTCTCGCTCTGGAGAAACAGCCCAGCTGTCCTCTGGCTCCCTGCCCTCAAGGAAAGGGACTCACTCAGGCCTGCTCTTCCCTTTTTGGAATGACCGGAGAAACCACAAGCTGACCAAAGGGGCTCCTGGGGGCTGGTGCCAGAGGGTTCCCCGCAGCTCTGACCCGTTGTCCGGGCGGAGACCTGAAGACTGCATGTGACCTGCCCTCAGGCCGGTGCCACCCCACAGCAGGCTTAAGCCGCCCCCAACACCCAGCACATCCCTGTGATGGGTGGTGGCCAGCTTTCTCCTCCTCAGCTTCCTTCCTTCCCCCTCCTCAGCTTCCTTCCTTCCCTCCATCCACCTCACAGGCTTCCTTTCTGAGTTCAGAGTGGCTTAGAGGAAAGAACATGGCTCCTCAAACAGACACACCTAGGTTGAACCTCACCCAGCTCTCCCACTTACTGTGGGACTTTCCAGACAAGTTTGTTAGCCACTCCAAGCCTCTGTTTCCTCATTAAAATGGGGACAATGACCTCTACTTAGGGCTGCTGCGGACCTGGGGCCTGATGCAGAGACATCCACTGCGTCAACCCACTGCACCATAGATGCCCACTGCACCACAGACAGACGCCCACTGCACCACAGACACCCACTGCACCATAGACAGACACCCACTGCACCA